AGGGGGGTTTTTGCTATTTCGAGATTACACAGGGGTAGTTTTTGCAGTTTACTCCATAAATTGCACCTATTTAATTAACCTATTCATCATTCTAACCTGGAGATTCATTGTCTAATAGATAACATGTGTATTTCTTTGATTTTTCTATGTATGATTTCTTGAACTAAAACATGTGACAAATCAGCTTACATGCCGAGCACTCCTAAATATTTATCATTTGAAGAATGTACGGGCTAAAGGAAATACATCATAGAAGAATTTTTGTTATTATTAATAATAAGTAATAACACGTGAACTTTTTTAGCAATTCAAAAGAACATATCGAAAACATCAATTCTCGTCTTTCTTTAAATATCCAACATCTTACGAAACCGATGCATGTAGAAAGAAACATACCATAAGAACTTGTCAAGAGACAAGATAGCTCGTTGTTAATTAGTTTAATTGTTTAATTGATTAAATTGACAGCCCGAAATTTATTTTCTCCGACAATTTGGTCTTGAATTCCTGAGTGAAGATAAAACAAGTAAGCCTCGTAAATACTGAAACCTTGGGGAAGAAAAAAAAAAAGAATATTCTTGGAGGAATCTCGAACCCCAAAATCGTCTGTTTGCTGTGTTACGACATTAGCAGTTTGAACATCAACAGATGAACCAAGAACAGAAGCAGCTACATCCTCAGCAACTGCATTACTAGTGCTTATAAACGATGGATTTGGTGTCATATGAGAGGCAGGAGAAAACTGATGAGGAGAAACTCCGACACCCATATGGATAGGCTGCTGAGCGTAAATAGGTTGGACATGTCCTAAAATATGCGAAGGGAACCCCATTTGGGAAGGGAGTTGGACATAGTTTGCATGGTTCGGATTTTCTTGAATTGCCTGCGTGTGTGTGTACGGTGAGGATACTGGAAAACTCGCACTAGGCAACCCTAAGTCTTGCTCAGAGACAACACCTACCGTTGTCGGAGCAGCATACGGCATAGTACTAGGATCAACATTAACCACTTTCGGCGCTGTCTCGAGCTGAACAACCGAAATCCCCTTGGGCGAAAAACCACCACTAACTTGGCCTAAGCTATCAGCACCTTCTGTACCACTTAAATCGGAACTCCTTGCAGAATTACCACTCTCAATACTCTCCTTTCTTGCAAGACGGTTAAAACCATCCATAATCCCGTTCACAGCTTCAACATACCTATTCCCACCATCCTCCAAATCTTCAAAACTAGCATTTTCGAGCTCGGAAGGCGAAAACAAAAGTATCCTCATTTTAGCCGAACCATCCGAAGATCTTTCTAGAAGCTTCTCGTATTCATCCATCATGTTTTCGAGATCGTCCGGACAAGAAACGGAGACGAGTGCATCGAGATCTTCATCTGGCAACTGATACTTAATCACCACACTCTGTCCCAACGTATCGGCCATCTTGTGTAAGAACTCGACGAAAGGGATGTCTCTTCTAACACTGATAATCCTAGTGTGTCCTCCTACGTATCACAACGCACCGTCACTCACACGTGGCAGTATCTTCCCACCGAAACTGCACAAGAACTTAATTTTCCAAACAGAGGCAGAAGTATCGCCGCCACTCCCATCACTACCAAAACTCGGACTATAAGTGTACCCGCTCGCGGAATTAACTGCGGTGGGGCCCACAAGACCTTGTTGGAGCTGGGGCCGGGGCTGGGGTTGAGGTGGCACAATATGCGGGACCCACTCGCTAACACCGTTGGAGAAAGCCGGAGGGTGGTTTGGTAATAAACCGCAGGCACGGCTCCAATATCTGTGGGAGTGTGTGTGTAAAACCCTTCAATGGGTCTAATTGATGAGGTTACAGGAGCGATTCTTGGGTCATCGGATAAATTTCTCACTACATTGAATGGGCGTAAATTTTTGGGCATTGAGGTCTGATCAAATGCCATAACACTAATAATTTCTTGCTAAAAAAAAAAAAAAAAAACTAAAATCGGTATGGGAAAATAGTATTCAATTGACGGTGTGTGTATTGATCCACATTTAGCTGAAAGAGGGAAAATAACATGAAATCACTAATAATTAAACACACACAAAAATGTATATATAACTGGGACTACGAAAAGGAAAAAAAATTAGTGTACAAGTCGGAGAAAGATAATTAATTACCTGATTTTGAATTGGGGGAGAAGAGGCGGAAAACTGGGTAATTGAGTCGGCGAGCTTATCTTATCAGAAACCTGTATCTATCTGTGTATGTATTGTTTTCGGTGGGGAAGAAGCAGACAGTACGGAAATGGAGGAAGGGGTGGGGGGTCGTTTTCTATCTGGATTTGACTTGAAAGAGGAATAGGTTTCAAATTTGATTTGATGCTGAAAGAATTTAGGGCCTCTTCGAGAAAACCCCTCATTATTTTTTTTAACTGAGGGAGGCCCAAAATATTTTAGTTCATTTGAAAAAAGTCCACACCCATTTTCAGCCATTATGTTTTCCAGCTTTGCCCCCACCCGCCACATCATCACTGGGTCACGCTCAGCGAATTTTTTTTTTCTTTCGTCTTTTATTAGTTTCCTTAATCGACTATGAAGCATAGTCGATTAGCCTTAATCGACTATGCTTCATAGTCGATTAAGAAAATTATTTAATTTTTTTTTTGTTTTTAATTTTTGTTTTATACCAGTTATAGTAATCGACTATAATGTGAAGCATAGTCGATTAAGAATCTGCTACTAAAAATAACAAATCACAATTGCGAAAAAAATACAAAATCAACTATATATAACAAAAACAAAAAAATATACAAATATTATAAATGATTTATACAATTGAAAACAATAAACAAAAAATCAAAAAAAAATAAAAAAAATTGGAGTCGATGAACCTTAATCGACTACCAGAGCATAGTCGATTAGCTTAATCGACTATGAACATATACATAGTCGATTAAGGTAACAACATGCGCAAAATTCTCTACACGCGCCTTCATCCGTTCAATCCACCAAAAAACCCTAAATCTGTCTCCCCATCGTCACCACACCGCCGTCACAACACACATCATCACCTTACTTTGATATTATGATGGTTTTTTAATTACAAATAAATAAATAAAATCACAACTCGCACCACCAACCAAATCAGAACCACCACCCATCAAAAATCCGATTTCGATGACAAATCGACAATTTATGGCTTTTGTTAAGATCGGCCGACGACGACCCCGACCCGACTTCGTCAGCGACGGCGAAGGAGACAACACCGACGACAATGGCTTCAACGAAATTAGCATCGTTGTTCCGTTCCGGTTGGTTCTTCATCTTCCGATCAAGAGAGAGTAATTTAAGAATTGAGAGAGAAAAGTATAAAATGGAGAAAAAAAAAACAGAGAATGGACGGGGAAAGAAGAGACGGGAGAGAAGAGAAAATAAGATTAGGGTTTGAAAGAGTATAGTAGACAATTAAGGGTAGTTTTGGAATTATGAAAATATCACTTGAGTGGAATATTAGGTAAGGGGGTTTTCTCTAATTATTTTTGGAACGGGGTGTTTTCTTAACTCATTTACCTAGATGAGGGGGTTATTGCTAATTATCCCAATAATTTATGGTCCTGAATTCGTTTAATATAGAGGTGTTATATAAAGTGTTATGACACTTGTATAAACATGCAGTGGAAATATAAAAGCAATACTCATCACAAGTAAAAACTTGTGAACTTGCCCTTTACAGGACGGAAAAATTATATTAAAACAGTATTACAAGAATACAAAGAGAAGATGTACGAAAACTTCTTCCTTATGAATGAATCATTAACATGATCATTCTTACATTCAAATCTAGAAACAAAAAGATAAATACTAAAAATTCTAGATTTCAAATAATGTACCGTGAGGAGTACGTAAAGAACTTATGAATGAATCACTATCTTGATCATTCTTACAACCAAGTCTAGAAACATTAAAACTATATACTAAACAATCTAGACTACAAAGAATGTACTTATGAGAAGTACGTAAAGAATGTACTCATGAGGAGTACGTAAAGAATGTACTCATGAGGAGTACGTAAAGATTGTACTCATGAGGAGTACAACCAACCGATTCTAAAAACACACTAAAACACTCATTTATTCTTTTCAGCTCTCGGTGTTTATTTCTTGGAATCGATAACTTTCCTTGGGTCTTGAAGTCGGTATTTATAGACATTCCAAGCTTCCACTCCTCAACCCATAATCTGCAAGAAAACCAACTACAAGAGCACTCAAGAACATGGGTTAGTGGGTTAGTTTAGTAGTTAAAATAATATCCACAATTTAATCCACTAAGCACTACTTAACCCACTAAGTATTATACTTAGCCCACTAAGCATTATACTTAACCCACTAAGCACTATACTTAACCCACTAAGCACTACTTATTGCGTAACTAAAATTTAGTTAGAAAATAAGAAAGTTAAAAACAAAATGTGGAAATCCACGTGTTTCAAACTCCCCCTTTTTAACTTTCTGATCAAAACTAAATTTTAGCTTAACTCCCCCTGAGTCATTGCTTGAACTCCCCCCGAATATGATAACCAATATAGCAAATAACAAAATAGAAATTCAGAGGGAAATTAACAAACTGAACAAAAACAAATATTGTTCATAAAAATAACTTTAAAGCAGAATACCCAAAGTCTCCTCAGTATCAGCTGATGTTCCTCCATCACTAGCACTGGACCCACTGCTTTCCTCTGCTCCTTCAGCTTCACCCTCATTCCTTTCTTCTTCTTCATTAACTCCATGCTCTCTGCCTCTGGCATCCAAAGGATGAGAAGTCCCTGCTTCAACTTCATGACTAGCTTTTTTTTCCCCCTTTTTGATCAGAAAGAGCTTTTCGAAGCATTTCCACCATGGATTGTGATAAGTGATCTGAGCTAGAGAGTGAGTAAGCTGTTGTAACAAAAGATCTCTAGGAACAGAAACAAGAATGTCAGGGATGTTGTCAACATAAGGAGCAACACCTTCAGTACCAAGATTATTTTGACCTGATTCAGTTGAGAGGAAATTATCTCCATTCCGGGGAAGATCTTGGACATGAGGTGCTTTTAGAAAATTTTGAGAAACAGTGATCATGCCAAGTGGAGTGTGAAGATATTCTGATTCATCTTGGCCCAAATTTTGAGAAAGTAGAATGGAGTAGATGAGAGAAGGATAAGGAAGATGAGTGGATGATGAAAAAAACTTATTCACCCAAAATTCCACACTAAAATTATTGAATCACGCACATAATTAAAATTGTTTCTCTCTCTAAACTTATTCACCCAAAATTCATATTTCTTCCCTTTTTTCTTTTAATTTTTTATTTAATTAGTGTTAATAATTATTTAATTACTAAACGAATGTTAAGTACTGTTCAACTTTTCTAGTATTAAAAATACTTGATATGAAATTTACTGTTTCGTTAATCTTTTATTGTAGTAATACTTATAAATTACAAAAAAGTATTTAAAAAAATGTTAATAATTTAAAATTATGTAAAAGATGTTTAAGAGAAGAGATGTGCTATTTCCACCCTCATTTTATCTCATTTCACCACCAAAAATTTAAATAAATAAATAACATAATATAAAATATCTGAAATACCCTTCATACGTATTCATTTAATTATTTTTCTAATCCACCACCATCAATTTACTAACTTCATCTTCTCAATTACAACATAAAGAAAATGTTTCTGGAAATTAACACCATTCCATTTTTTTATAAATAAATTTCACCAGTAAATAAAAAAATGAATAAAAAGAATCTACAATCGGGGATCCCCATCGCAAAAAATCTCAAAAAATACTATGGAAGTACTCCCTCTCCTAGCTCATGGCGCCGCCGCATCCTATGCATTCCTCCTCGACTTATATGTTCATACGATCAACATAAATATTCCATATAGAGGAACTCGAAAGGCGGATCTTTCCAATTTTTTTATCGATGCGATCCAAATCCAAGAAATTTAGAGAAGATAATAATAGCAATTGGGATATTGGTTTAATTCCGGCTCATTGATTTTCTTGAACATTTTTTGTTCTCAGTTTCTCACTCCTCTCTGGATAACAACCAATAAACAATTGCCGTAATTTCTAAAGCATAAATATATTTAAGGTTTTTTTTAATGGACATTAATTATGTCGTTCTAGATTAACTGATTTCTTCTTTTTTAATTTTTTTTGGTCTAAAAAGGTTTGTGTTATGGAAGTCTATGAAGAAAAATAAAATATTGGAGAAGATGAAGAGTGAAGTGACGGTGGTGGATCAAAATTGTGATTTAAAAGATTATTAATTATTAAGGGTATTTATGTTATTTTATGTTGTATTATATTATGTATTTAAAATTTGGTGGTGAAATGAGATAATATAAGGGTGGAAATAGCATGACTCTAAGAGAATTCTTGAAATTATAAATCTTGTTTAAGAGGATCGTTGTACGAAAATATTGTATTCGTTCTTATTTTTTTTTTATTATTATTATTATTATTATTATTATTATTATTATTATTATTATTATTATTATTATTATTATTATTATTATTATTATTATTATTATTATTATTATTATTATTATTATTATTATTATTATTATTATTATTATTATTATTGTTGTTGTAGCAATTGGCGAAATTCAAATAATTCCACGCTAGTTTTTTACCCCTAAACTCCCCAATATGTCATAAATAAAAAAACAACACACAATAAATTAATTATTTTTCAGTCCACAAAAAGTAGATAATTACCAATCGCCATGAATAGCTCACGCAATCTGCCATTACCATTTCCAGTTAAAAAAGAATACAAAATAAATGAAAATCAGATAATCAATTTACCCTAATTTCAATTTCAAGAAAAATCACAAAATAACAAATAAAAAAATCATTTATATTTACAACCCTAGTAACAGCTCATCTTTCAGTTACCATCACAAAATTGGGGGAAACAAATTGATGTGTCAGATTTAGTCACATACAATAATATGAGTTTCCCCTTTTTATTCTATTCAACAAATTATTAGATTTGGCCATGGGTTTAAATATTCATACCTTGCAAGTGTGTATGAGATCACTAATTGATGATGCTAAAATGTAGCTCACCTAGGGTGGTGTAGAAAATGAGCTGGGAGAGCAAAGCAGATCAGTAGCTTGACAACTTGATGATCCTGAGGTACCTGCGATCATAGAACACATGAACTAAGTCGGGGTTGATCCGGCGGAAACCCCTCCGACGCTCAAGTCAGACGTGCTGATCA